GTAGGAGGTGGGGCTACAGAGAGGTGGGTCTGAATGAGTAGGAGGTGGGGCTACAGAGAGGTGGGTCTGAATGAGTAGGAGGTGGGGCTACAGAGAGGTGGGTCTGAATGAGTAGGAGGCAGGACTAGAAAGGGGGGGTCTGAAGGAGTAGGAGGCGTGGTCAGAAAGGGAAGGGGCATGGCAGGGGCGCCAGCAGCAACTCCCACCCACCCAGAATAACATTCAGCGGTCACAACCTGTTGCCCCCCAGGGCCAGAGACAGGGAGGGCACTCTAATTGGGGGGGGGGGAGGGGGTTAGGGAATGGTGTGAAGAGTGTACCCAGGGTCTTCAAACAGAATTACATTTTGCACTTTTGGCAAACAATATGTGATGTCATTGAGCACAGATGTGTGTTTTGTATATGTATGCTTACTGCTTATTGATTTTTGGCACACTGTCTTAGTAGTGACACTTTCTAAAGCTTTGGCATATTGAAGCTTTGTGTGGCTTTCCAGCTTAAAGCCCCCCCACGCCACCGGCAAGCGAACACAAAACTTCAGCAAACACTGAACTGGATCCTGCCAGCTGGCCTGACCGCCAATGCTGACAAACCCCGGCTGCAGCACCGATGCACACCCTGCGTGCCTGAATGGCTGAAGCTGCCGGTCAGGTGACAGACTGCCTGAAAGCAGTTACAAGCAAAAGCAAGCGCCCCCTACAGGCCGAACACCAGGACAGCGGGATTACGGAAGTTCAGTCCCTGAGGCCATTTTGGACTGGACTGGCCCCTGCAGTCTTTATAGTACATCTCCTGGTTGGCTCATCTTCCTGGTCACAGTGGGCGCTGCCTGGATATCCCCCATCTCTCTTGACTCACCAACGCATTCCATTTCCCTCCTGCATTTACCACCGCAGATACCTGCCTCATCTCCACAGTCCTCTGCCATCTCCACCACCTGCTGCCGCTCTTCCTCCTTTCAAACAGCCTAAAGTGCTTCTCAATGAAGGCGGCCCTAAAATCACATGCCCCTGCCCCCCGCTTGCCCTGCACTTCCTAGAAGACCAGGTCACATGTCACACTGATGGACAGGTACATTAATTCCATTAAAATGATGGCATCACATTTTGCCCGTAGCAGTCAGGGATGCCTGGCAGGTCGGATTTTGGCATGCCCCTGCAACTCGTGAGATGCATTAAACCCCCCCCCCCCCTACTTTCAGCTTCCTAAGTGTCCGTCTGTGTCACCCTTGGCACAGTGTTCCAAAAAAAAAAAAAAAAAACAAAAAATTTTTTACATTTTTTTTTGACCAATCAAGTGCAGTCTGCTGCTTGCCCCAATGAGGCATTAGCAACAATATCTGACGTGCAGCATAAAAGCGAACAGAATTAAAGTCCTAATGGCCAGAGGCTCTAGGGCGGAACATCTGGATACCTGGTTCACCACACTCCCTAAATGCAATACAGCTGTACGCACAGATCACAGCACAGGGGCGGCTTCGGGTAACCTGCCTCTCTGCAAGTCTCATTGGCAAATAACTAAAAACATATATTAACAATATAATGGCTAATAAACTTTGTCCACTGAGATCCTGAGAAGATACTATTTTACCTCAAGCATACCTGGGGAAGATACTGCTAGCAAAGCACTGTGACACACACACACACAGCATACACACACCATACACACAGCAAACACACAGCATACACAGCATACACACAGCATACACACAGCATACACACAGCATACACACAGCACACACACACACCATACACACACCATACACACACCATACACAGCACACACACACACACACACTCTGCTATACTTCCTGAAGCCCTTGCGAATTTCGGCACCAACATTTTTCTCCTAGCGAGTCAAAGTGATTCAGACGACCATGGATACTGCGCCGACCTCTGAGCAGACAGGCCAATGCACCTGGCAATGTTGGTGCATGGCTGTGTGCGGCTGGGGGGGGAGATACCCTGACCGGGAAGGGGGGGGGGGGTTAAGGAAAGGGGAGGGCCCTACCCCGGCTCTGCTGTGTGGGGGGCTCACCTATGTGAAGGACAGGTGTGAGCCGTTGGATATCTGCGAGGTGATGCTGGTGCTCCTGCTCATACCCTGCTCGCTGCGCCCCCCAGAGGGCGTCCTACGCAATGCCTGGGGGCTGTTCCGCACGCCCCCTCCCACAGACCGCGGCCCTGCCCCCAATGGCCCCGCTGAGGGATGTCCCCAGGGCGGAGGACCCCCCAGGCCACTAGCCACGACCCCACTCCCTTGACCCCAGGCCTGTTGTGGCGGGGCCCCTCCACCCTGACTGGAGTGTTGGTGGTGATGGTGGTGGTGGTGATGGTGATGGTGATGGCCGCTGCTGCTGCTGCTGCTGCTGCGGCTCGACCCGCCACCGCTGCCGCCACCCCCACCCGGCCCCCAGTGCTGCCCCTGTGGGGGACCCCCGGGGTGCTGGTGGGGGCCCCAGCCGCCTGAGGCCCCCGGGAAGCTGTGGCTGAATGCCTCCGAGGAGATACTGGACAGCACCATGTTGCTGAAGCCCAGGCGCATACTCTCGGAGTCGAAGGCCTCGATCTCGCGCGCCTGGCGCTCCAGCAGGCTGCGGATGCGCTCTGAGCGCTCATTCTGCAGGGCCAGCATCTCCTCCTCGATCTGCGGGACGCACACAGGCATCACCAGAATGAGAGAATATTCACCCAAACCAAAAGAAAATATGCTATGAAAATAATAAACTACAACTAAACAAAACCTATAAAAATTGCTTTCAAAACTAAGAAATTAAAAACGAATGTCAAACTTTATGTTCAAACTATTTGGTAGAAATTATAAATACTGATTTGTTTACCTTTACCATAAAGGTACCATCTGGAACATGTATTGCCTATTGTGAGGACATTAGTACACAATGTTCTCTGTATATTCATGTATGATTCCCTAAAGATCACACATAAAACAGCTCTACAACTTTCAGTTCATCCCCAGAAATAAAATGACTAAAACTTAAACTGAAACTAAAATATATAAAAATGAAAAAGAAATTGATCTTTAAAATAAAATAAGAACAGTGAAAAGGGAATTCAAATAAAAATTGAAAACAATATATAAACTAAATAAAAAAAAATCTGAACTATTACACTGGCATCAACACACAAAACCCTGCAACCTGGGTTTATCACTCAGGGTGCCTTGAGACAAGCAGCTAAAAGGCTGATGAAGTGATGCAGAGCCCCACCTTCTGCTCCAGCAGCGCCCGGCGCAGCGACACCCTCTGCTCCAGCTCCTTCCTCTCCCGCTCGTGCTGCGCGTCCGTCTGCATCTTGATCTTGCTCTGGTAGGCATTGAGCAGCTCTAGCTCCTGCTGCAGCTGCATCCTCAGCACCTGGCACTCCTCCTCCTGTGCTTCATCCAATCGCAGCTGCGGGGGTGGGGGGGTTAAAAGAAATGGGGCATGGTCATTGGAGGAGAATGAAGAAAGGGGGCATGGCAGAGAGACGACAGTCACAAACCCTACAATTTCTTTTCCTCAGACCAAATGCTTGGTATACTGGGCATTTCCTTGTTAGGCCAATCGGTATTTGAGCTGTCAAAATGTATTGTGAGACCCCCCCCCCCCCCCCTACCAGTTGACAAAACCTCTAGAGATGATTTTTAACCCCAGTCCTGCCCTGCCTCAGACCACAGTTCTCCATTAAATGCTAGCATTGAATATTATTTGTTATTTATTCTGCTGGCAGTATTCCAGGAGCTCTCTGATAGGGCACATTTGGCTGGGTGCATGCACCCTCCCTCCCTGGCCGACTGACCGCCTGCGTGGACAGCATGTCGTTGATGGAGTGGTCGTACTGCTCGGCCAGGATGGCCAGCTTGCGCGTCTGCTCCTCCTTCAGCCGCTTGAGGACGGCCTTGTGCTCCGACTTGGGCGTGCTCTCCAGCAGGTGGTTCCTCAGCGCCTTGTACTGCCGCGTCTGGATCTTACAGGTGTCCTGGAACTGCCGCTTTATCTGCAGCTCTTTGGACTGTGGGGGGAGGAGACAGTGGGCGTCACGGTGATGCTGGACACTCCTCCCCCACACCCCGCACACTCCAGGGTACAGCCGCTCACCTTGAGACTCTTGGGCTGCTGCCGCACCTCCATGACGTGCTTCCTGCGCAGCTCGCGTTCCCGCCGTTTGTTGTACTCCATCTGGTTGGTGAGTTCAGTCTGGTGCTGCACGCGGATCAGTTCTGCCCGCATCCTCTGGATGGCGCCCAGCTGCCGGAACTCCAGCTCCTGCATGGACTCGTGGTGCCGCAGCAGCATGGCGTGCTCCAGGTCCTTCTGTGTCTGACGCTTGTTCAGCTCCTGCGGTGGGGCGGAGTTTGGGAGATCAGAGTGGCTCGCCAGACCCGAGGCTGCAGGACCGGTCGTGGGCTCTAGGGGGCACTCACCTCGCGCACCAGGTCCTGCTCCACGTTATGCCGTGCGATCAGCACGCGCCTCTTGAAGCGCCGGCACTCCAGCTCCAGGTATTGACGCTGCCTCCTCAGCAGGTTTGCCTCCTCCTCAGCCTGGAAGTGCTGGAAGTTCTCCTTCTGCTTGGACAGCCACTCCTGCTTCTCCTTCTTGGGCGTAGACTGGTTCTCGTTCAGCTCCTGGGGAGACGGAGAGGGGGGTGAACTGGGAGGCTGCTGGGTGTGTCCTGCATATGTGTGTGTGCACCTGTGCGAGTGGCTGCACCTCCTTGAGTTGTTCCTTGCGCAGCTTGTACTCTCGTTTCTGCGACTCCAGGAAGCTGCTGTGTTCTTTCTTCTGCTGGCTCTGGATGTGCTGCTGGAACTTCTTCTCATCACTCGCAAAGGTCTTAGCCTGCACACATGGGATGGGACGGAGGGAGGCATGGGGGATGCAAGCAGAGGAACAGAGGTCACACAGAAATGCCAAGGGGAAGACATACAGAGAGGGGGGGCAGGGGGGGAAGACAGAACAGGGTTAATGCATCATTCCCTTGCTGAGGACAATGTAATAATAACAGACCCAAGGTCCATCAAACTATGGAGGTCAGTGTGTAGGAGAAACAGGGGCTACACTACAGGACGCAGAGGTCAGTGTGTAGGAAAGAGGGGGGCTACAGTGCAGGACGTGAAAGTCAGTGCGTAGGAGAAACGGGGGCTATAGCACAAGACGCAGAGGTCAGTGCGTAGGAGAAACGTGGGCTATAGCACAAGACGCAGAGGTCAGTGCGTAGGAGAAACGGGGGCTATAGCACAAGACGCAGAGGTCAGTGCGTAGAAGAAACGGGGGCTATAGCACAAGACACAGAGGTCAGTGAGTAGGAGAAACAGGGCCTATAGCACAAGACACAGAGGTCAGTG